CTTAATATAAAATGTCTTCGATACGTTTGAAAAATGTAGGAGAAATCGAAAGATGTCGTTACGAAGCGATCCACAACTTCCAACGATACAGCAATTTTTTAACGAACAGTTAAAAATTATCTCCTCTCTGTTATTTTCAGGCTTTACGTTAGAATTTGTAGTATTGTTTAGCAACAAACAATCAATCATTTCTCGTACTATTTAATCAGCAAATTTAACCTTAACTTCGTTTCATAACCTCCAAAATATTTTACTAATAAATCGCAAGATTTGCTTCGATACAGCTTCTCTAAAAGATTTTACTCGCGCTTGCAAACACTAACCTGATTGATCTATCAACGTTCACTATTGGGAACGTTATGTAAGAGTATTTCATGTAAATACACAAACTCCACCTGATGTAGATTAAATTCAATCTGAAACATTCGTACGAATGGCAATTTCCTGAATAATTGTGAAAATATTAAAATCGATTCCATTACGTAATAATTTAGATTCCGCGTAAGACACTTGCATATGCATTCAGTGGGCAGTATTTTTTCAAATGCACTGTATAAAGGCATGCGTAGAAATTAGGATTGAAGGAAACGATGCAGGGAGTCCCATAATTTAGGCAGTGTTGCTTATGATATTTCTATTTGTGTTCACTCCAGCTGCGATGACTCATTTCATTTCATATTTCATTTACAAACAGATTACCATTACCATTAACGGTTTTTAAACATAATTCGTTTGCATTTACAAATTGTCCTTTCTACTAACAGTAATTTAGAATGGCTTTATCTTGCAGTCGTTTCGATTCGTACAATTTTTTTACTTACAGCAACTCGATTTAGAATGCCGTGGACTTACTGTAACTTTCTTCGCGCTCCCTTTTCTTTTCCTTTTTCTTTTTACTTACAACGATTCTCTAATTGTCATAAAATTCTAATATACAAATATTTTCTTTGTTTTTCCTTTTTTCTTGTCACTTCTTCTCATCTATTCTAGCGAGTCACTGGAAGTTATGGACGGCCATAAATCTAGAGTGTTCAGTGCGTGTTTTAACCCGAAATCGGCACACGAGCTAATCAGCGCCGGCTGGGACAACACCATTCAGTTTTGGGACACCAGGCAACCATACGCGCTCAGGCGTATATCGGG